GAATCTTTCCCATGATTGTATATTTGGCTGGGATTTTTGAGAGCGAATCGTGTAGTGTTCGATTGTTCCGACGCGGTGAATCAGGTAAAGATCAGATTGAAAAAGCCGGTGCGTGTGCCACCCAGATCCGTGTCTTGTCTCTGTGTACCTACTGACCAAGAACTTTCCGTGGATACAGAGTATGTCTTTAGCGGTGTTCACGCTGCACCAATCGAATTTAGAGACACGCTTGTCAAACCGTACTCGTCTCACGAAATTCCGCTAGTGGTGAGGAACAGGTCGGACCGTTTCGTGACACTCCGTAGGCGGGATGTAGTCGGCTATTTGCAGCCTTTAGATGGCGCAGATGTGGCCGATGCTATTCCCCGTGACACGCCCACTGACACGCCGGAGACAAATGCCGTGTCTAGCAATGATGCACAGTTTCTCGGTTCGGACACGGATGAAATTCTGACTCACTTCGCAGTGGGTGATCAGGTGACGGGATCGTCTCGTGAAAAGATGGCCTCTCTACTACAGTCGTTTTCTGGAGTTTTCGCCACCAGCTACGCAGACGTGGGATGCTACAATAAGGGTGACGTAGATTTAGAGCTAGCACCAGGCACCAAGCCCCAGTTTTCAAAACCATATCCGGTTCCCTGGGCTAAGGAACAGGCACTGAAGGAACAGCTTGATGAGTTGCAGGCTAGCGGTGTCATTGCCGTAGGCGAAACGAGTGATTGGAACTCTCCAGTCATTCTGGTTCCGAAAGGGAAGTCACGCGAGTTTCGTATCGTGCAGGACATGCGGGACATCAACAAGAATTTGCTACCGAAAAAGTTCGTTCTGCCGAACATCGATGAATTTTTACATTCATTAGAGGGGTGGAATGTCGCAAGCTCGTTAGACATAAAACATGCTTTTTGGAACCTCCGTTTGTCCGAGGAATCTCAAAAGATTTGCGCATTTTACGCGCTGGGAAAGACATATTATCCACAGCGGATGCCCATGGGCTGTGCCCAATCATCCTATTTTTTGCACGTAGTCATGCATCGGGTACTTGGTGATATACCCGGCGTATCTATTTACGCGGATGACGTACTCTTGACGAGCAAAAATATGGAGAGTCATCTGAAGCTCTTGCACACGGTTCTAAATAAGCTTCATGGGGCGGGTTTCAAGTTGTCACCGAACAAGTGCAAGATCGGCATGCGAAAATTGTCCTATCTTGGGCACCAGATCACCCCCGAGGGTATATCAATCGACCCAGAACGGATTCAGTGCATCGAGCAACTCAAACCGCCCGTATCGGTGAAGGAGGCGAAGCGTATTTACGGATTTTATGCTTGGTTTAGGAAATTTATCCCTTCTTTTGCGAGCATCTCAGCGCCTTTAGTTAAGCTCTCAAACTCGGACACATTCTACTGGAACTCCGAGTTGGATGAAGCATTTCATTCTTTGCGCGGGTGCCTGCTGTCGAATCGCGTTTTGTCATATCCATCTCGCAACGGCGACGGATTTATATTGTACACTGATAGCAGCACAGTGGGCTCTGGTCAGATTCTGTGCCAGATGCAGAACGGCGAAGAAAAAGTCATCGCGTTCAATGGAAGCAAATATAGCAGGGCACAATCGAAGTGGACTATTTTTGAGCTCGAGGTTTTCAGTTTTATCACAGGCCTCAAGAAATTTTATAGATATTTGGCTGGAGAAAAATTCATTTGGATTTGCGATTGCAAAAGTGCGCTAAAAATTTTGCAAAATAACGATGACACGAATCCCCGTATCGCTCGGTGGCGATCATATGTAAGCCAGTTCCAGTTTGACACTGAGCATCGCCCTGCGGCCTCGATGCAGCACGTTGATATGATCTCAAGGATCCCGGAGAATCAGCCGGAGATTGAACAGATGAGTAGGACTGAGACGGTCAATGGGGCGGTAACGGTGGTGGAGGCTACGGCGGGTGGCCGCAGCCCGGCGGTGGCGGCAGGTGGCCGCGGACCGGGGGTGGTGACGGGTGATCGTCCCCCGGCGGCGGCGGACGGTCGCAGGCCGACGCGCGGCGACGGTGTGCCGATCGTGGGCGATCGAGTCAACATTGTCAGTGATCCGGGCAGTGCCGACCTACCGATGGCTCGTGAGTCGATCGTTTGGTATCAGAAGCACGACAGGGACTGTCGCGCTCTCGTTCATCACTTGAAGTATTCGAAATGGCCCAAATTCTGTCCCCCCGCACTGAAAAGGGAGGACATTTCTAAATTCGAACTGCGTGAAGGCATTCTGCGTGTGCGAGGGAAGGAGGGGAGAGAGCCACGGATCGTATGGCCACGAGCCAAGCGATTCGAAATGATGTATCATCATCATGACCCTTCACATCACGGACACTGCGGCCACGAAAAACTTTACGACAAGTTATCGCGACAGATTTGGTATCTGGGTCTCAAACGTGACTGCAAAAACTACGTCGATAGTTGTAGGCGCTGCAGTGAAAAGAAAGATGATCGGGGACCACCGGCGCCGCCCCTGTTACCTCAGCCGCCCGGGGGGCCCGGTGACACGCTGGTCATTGACATTGTGTACATGCCGACCAGCCGTCTCACAGGGAGAAGTCTGGTGCTAACATGCGTAGACAAATTCACGGGATTTCTTACACACTATCCTCTTCAGACTGGCGCTGCTGACGACGTAGTCGAAGCGTTGTCGACGCAGTTCTTGACATATGGACCCCCTCTGCATATCGAGACGGATGCGGGGGCTAATTTCAAAAGCCAGAAGGTATCAGCGCTGTGTCAATTTTGGGGTATTACCATTAGACATTCCGTCGGCCATCACCACGAAGGTATAGGGAAGGTAGAGAGGAAGCATCGTGATATTAAGCGAAGGCTGCGGGCGTTAACCGATTGTTACGGTGTCGATTGGGAGAGCCACTTGCTACCCGTCATCTTTTCACTCAACAGCGAAGTTTCCGATTCACATGGATATTCACCTCACTTTCTTTTCTTTATGAGGCATGTCAATGCGTCTGTCTCTCGTCTCATCGCGCAGCCGGTATCGAGATATTCAGACGATTTTGTGCAGGAGAAGATGCGACTGGTCGCGGACACCTTGAAAAATGCACATGACACACACATTGTGAATGACACAGGGGGATCAGAAGCGGCGATATGATTTGAGGCATCGGGCGCAGGAGCCGCTTATCAAGCCCGGCGATCAGGTTAGGATACGAAACGTCGGTGGTCCACCTGACGCGGCGCGGAAGCTAATTCCCCCGTGGTCTTCAACTCATTTGCTGGTTAGAAGGCTGAGTAGGAGGCATGTCGAGTGTGTGGACCCACAGACTGGTCAGACCCGCCGCACCCATGTGAAATATCTCAAACCGGTAGTTGATCGGCTGGTGGACTAGTGTACTAATGTAGGTATGTGTGTATTTGTGAATGTGGGCGGTATGCGATCACTGTGTGTATGGTATGGATCACTGGTTAGCTGTTTTGCTGTTATATTGTTTGTTTTGTTGTCCTTGTTATCTATTTTTTTTTTTGCAAGAGGAGAGAATGTCAGGTCCCTGTGTTCGCCTCTGCGCCGCTCCGCTGTCCGGTCCCTGTGTGCGCCTCTGCGCCACTGTGCCGGCCGGCGCAGAGGGTCAGGTCACGGAAATACAGTTCGGTACTGGCGACCGCGGTGTTTGGATCGCCGTGCCGTGGCGGAGTGGTGTCGGGCCAAATCGAGTCACACCGTGACAAGGGTAGGGTAGGGGTAGGGTAGGGTAGAGTAGGGTGGGGTAGGGTAGTGTAGGGTAGGGTAGGGTAGGTTAGGGTAGTGCAAGGGTAGGGTAGGGTAGGGTAGGGTTGAATTGAGTAACATCCTAACTTACAAAGGGCTCGAACAACTCGCATGCATCACCATCATGCTTTACAGTTCAATTAAAAGCAGTTACCCAGTTCTACACAAATAATACCAATAAAAATGCAAGTTTCTACACCCAAACTAATGCATCCGTTAATCATACATATCCAAACATACAGTTATCGCGTAAACCTGTATTCTAGTCCTTTTTTTAATTTAAAAACGAAGATATTTGATGGTCCCTACTGCCTTCTACCCACATACCAAATTTGAGATCGATACCTCTTTTTTGGCCAAGTGATGGCAAAAAAAAAAAACTGTTCAAAATTGGTGACGTCAAAGACCACCATTAGACTTGCCGTGACGAGCTGCATCGAATTAATACCTGTTTTATGCAAAACTATCAACTTTGAAATTCAACTTTTTTTACTTGACATTGACCTGACCTCCACCAGAAAGTGACTTAAACCGTAACTGATGGTCTTATAACCAGCACCATTGAGTTTGAAATGTAAAATTGGCCATAAAAAAGTCTAGTAAAGTTGGGTTCATGTGCTGACCCTTGGTGACCTTTGGTGACCTGACCTGGTATCATCAGTGACCTCCAATAGTAACATATGTACTGGGCAACTTACGCCCTATCGCTGATTTTCGACAAAATGCGTTTTACTCGGTGTTATAGCGCATTCCCCAGGAGACCCGTGAACGGTGAAACATTTTATCTTTGGCCTGACCTGTGACGTCATCGGTGACCCCGAGGTCAATGAAATTTGGTTCCCTCGACAAATTTGACAGGGCTATCGAACGCCGTTTAAATTTTACGGATCCGCCCAGTAGTTTCGGAGATACGAGGGGGGGGGGCAAAAAATGCCTCCTCCACCACCGCGCGGAAGGTGGCCGGGAGGCCCTCCGCCTGCCGGGTTAAAGGTTCTGGATTTTTCATGGCTCCTGATGTGCAAATTGTGGACGGCGCTTGGGCTATTTTCTTGGAATAGAACGGACTAGAGATACACTCTGTGCGCATGGAGGAGCCACTGTGTGCAGTCATGCGGTGGTCGTTTGTTTTTTTCGGGGGGGGGGGGGGGGATGGGAGGAGGCGTAGTCCGCTGGGCGGGCGGCTGGGCAGTTGCCTGGTCTGGGTCACAGCGGCGGACTGACACAGCGTCTGCCGTTCACAGGCTACATTGTGGGCCAGGCGGGCCTGGTGCTGGCCGTGCTGCAGCTGGTGCTGGCCTACGCCCTGCTGCTGGTCACCGTGCTGTCCCTGTGCGCGCTCTGCACCAACGGAGCCATCGCCGGCGGAGGCTCCTACTGTATCCTTGGACACACACCACCACCGGGCACCCACCCACACGCACAGGCACAAGCTTCAGCTGACCGGGGACCAACAGACCACGAGTCCATTAAAGAAAAATCCTTGGTTTCTTACATATAGAGCTTACAAAACAAATAACGGTACCATAATTCTTGTCCACACTCTAGGCCCAGCCCATGAAAAATATGCGGCATGCTTGTACAGTTTGTTTTGGTGTAAAAGACACAAAAACCGAAGAAGAATGAAGAAAAAACAACCGTTAGCATTTATACAATTTTCCATGTACATATGTTTGTTTATCTAGCGATCTGTACTTGTCACTTGGCTGTGGACTGTGGAGTGTGAAGTTGGTCTGTCGATTTTTGCTCCTTGACCGGCGGTGGCGCAGACATGATCAGCCGTACGCTGGGCCCCGAGTTCGGCGGCAGCGTCGGCGTGCTGTTCCTGTTTGCCAACATCTTCAGCAGCGCGCTGTACATCTCCGGCTGCGTGGAAGGCCTGGTCAACAACCTCGGCGTCGGAGGTCAGTCCGGCGACTCGGCCGCTGCCGGTGGTGTCGCTCATTTTCTGTGCCTGTGTGCGGGCTGCTTTGTTTTGTTTTACCTTCTTTAAAAGTACACCTTTTTTTATTCAGTTTGAAAAAGCTGTATGTATTTTAAATTGAAAAGATGTATTTCAATTTGAAATACGTGAATTTCATTTTGAAAAAGGATGACACTTTGAAAAAGATAAGCTTAATTGGGAAAAATGAATACTTGATATATTTTATTATTTTTCCCTTATAAATTTAGTCCGAACCTTTTGAATGGAAGAATTCACAAGGACAGAGCGTAGGATTCACAAGATAAGCGGAGCTTGTGTTGGCTCCGCCCTCTACCTTCCGGTTGCGCAATTCCGGGTCTATGGCATAATTTAGAGCGCGAAGTTTATTGTTTGACGTACGGCTCTCTCGGTAGGTTTTGCACTTTCACATTTCCGGTTATATTTCAGAAACTAATCGATCTGCGATGAAGCCATTTTACACGATCATGGCCGGCTTGTGAACCAATAACAGCATCTTAAACACTTAAAGGTAGTGTGCCAGCTTTCTTGGACCATATGGAGTTAATGACCCGGATAAGGAGAATCGGATTTTTAGAACTTATCCATACCTTCAAAACTCATGGAAACGTCTTAAATTCTTCAAATTTTGAGTACCCCAGTGCGAAATTCGCCCCGACGGGTTGTCGGTCGTACCCCAACCACATTTCACACCACTATGAACAATAAATGCACACACTAAAATCGCTATTACCGATAGGCTCATCCAATCAAGTTTCGATAAACCCGTTCATCATCATCTCCTGCGGTTTCGAACACGCCTGTTAGGTGGCTTCTGATGCTCGTCGAGGTCGGAATTTCCAAATACGCGTGGTGCGTCGGGCCGCGCGCTCTGACTTCGGCCAAGAAAAATGCGTCAGCTGATCATTGCCATTTCTGCCACTTGCGTGTGGTGAAATGATAACTTACGAGACGGCTGTTTCATATCAATTATTTTACATAAAACCATATTTCAAACCATAAATTAATGTTCGACAGCCAAATTAAAGAAACAATACCAATACAGGCTTACAGTTTAGGCTCGACATTGTGTTGTCTACGATTAGACAGCTGATAACTCATTCCCGTACGTCGTAACTCTATAATGACCTTTGTTTATTGTCACATGTGCGCCGCATTCGCGATTGTTGCCGACGCCTGTTTGCAGGTCAGCCCACTACAGTTGTTATACATATCGAAAAACCGATAAACTTTTAGGCAAAAAAGGCACAATTCCAGGCCCATTTTTGATTTTTTTGGCGATATTAGGGAAAAACAGAAGCTTCTTATTCTAGGAAAAATAAAATGGGAAATCATTGGAAGGTGGTACACTACCTTTAACAGCTTAACCCGGCAGGCGGTGGGCCTGCCGTGAGTGCCGGCCACCTTCCGCGCGTTGTGGGGGAGGGGCATTTTCTTTTACCCCCCCCCCCCCCGTATCTCCGAAGCTACTTGACGGATCCGGACAATTCAAACGGCGTTCGATAGCCCTGTCAAATTTGTTGAGGGAAACCAAATTTCATTGACCTCGGGGTCACCGATGACGTCACAGGTCAGGTCAAATATAAAATGTTTCACCGTTCACGGGTCTTCTAGGGAAAGCGCTATAACACCGAGGAAAACGTATTTTGTCGAAAATCAGCGATAGAGCGTCAGTTGTCTAGTACATATGTTGCTATTAGGCGTCACTTGTTATACCAGGTCAGGTCACAGGTCAGGTCACCAATGGTCACCACATAAACCCAATTTTACTAAGGTTGTGCGATGCATGTTTTATGGCCAATTTTTCATTTCCAACTCAATGGTGTTGGTTATAAGACCATCAGGTACAGTTAAGGTCACTTTCTGGTGGAGGTCAGGTCAAGGTCAGGTCAAAAAAGGTCAAACTCAAAATTGATAGTTTTGCATAAAAAGGTTTTGATTCGATGCAGCTGGTCACGGGGAGTCTAATGGTGGTCTTTAATTTGCGCTACGAGGTCTAGAATTGCTAAAAATTGAGTTTGAAAGTTTCACGTCATCAATTTTGAACAGTTTTTTTTCGCTATAACTTGGCCAAAAAAGAGGTATCGATCTCAAATTTGGTATGTTGATAGAAAGCGGTAGGGACAATCACATGTATTCCGGTTTTTTTCGAAAATCAAAAACTTTTGGATATTATGGCTATTATATTAAAAAAAAAAATATTTTTCGATTTTTTCGGGGTCAAAGTCCAAAAATGTCAAAAATTCGAGACAGCAGTTTTGTAGCTCTGCCAATTCTACACCTTTTATGTCTGAAACATTTTTCTGTATCTCTAAAGTTGTAGGCCTGACAGCTCTTCCCGCGAAACTTTTTTGGGTCAAAAATGGCAGAAATGACGTCACTCTGACGTCATTAGCGGCCAACCTATCATAGCTCTTGAAAAAAAAAATCGGCCACAATGTGCAATAGCTGTTCACGGGAGGGTACCGAAAGTTTGGTGACGATCGGCACAGCGGTTCTGGAGATATATAGAAAAACCAAGTGGGGGAACAAAAAATGCCCCCCCCCCCCACCGCCTGGAAGGTTAAGACGACGAAGATATAGCCTGAAGTACACTAAATTTTCTAGGTGCAAAACCTACCGCTAAAACCCGCGAGACCTGAGGCCTCTTGCACCAAAATATCTAGCTAGGTAGAATCGGCAAAATACCTACCTAGTAAAACTACCTACGGCGGTAACTTCTCTTGCGCCATTCTACCTTCCTTATACCTACCTAGGTACACCTTTTACGGCCAAATATAGAAATAGTGCACACAGTTCAGAAATAGTGCAACCATTTCGACAGTTCGGCATAGTGCAGCGCTACTTCGGCCGAGTGCATGCAATTCAGTAATAGTGCACACGGCTCCGAAACAGTGCAAGCAATTTAAAAGGTAATGCATTCATTTTCAGTAGTTTGATTTCAGTTTCGCCAGAGTGCATTGCTTCGTCATATGCGTTGGTATTCGGCGTACCGCAAAGCAATTTAGTTCATCTTCAAGTGAATTCGGTGCCCCATCTAGAAAATATGTTTGACCAAGGCTATAGAACTCCAGGTAAGGACACCAGCCGTTTGACCTTGAACGCCGCCGGCCGGCCGATGACGTCATTGGAGGCAAGCCGGCTCGGCGGACACACAAGGCGAATGCATAACGGAGGGGCGTTGGAACGTTGCGGGAGCCGGGGAGATATTTTAATGTGGTTGTATACCACCATTGTTATGTTTATTGATCTACAGACTGCATTCTTTTAAACCTCGATGCACTCTAGGCCTGGATGGTTCGTACATTCGTGGAACGATCACCCCGTCCGAAGTCCGTGGTCGAAGCTGTCATAGTATTAAAGACACTAAGACGGGTGCAATAACGGCGATCCGATCCCGTCTCTGGCGAATCTAGAGGGGTCGTAAGGACCCAGGCCGAATCTGACCGTCTATTTTTAGGGAAACGGGGTGGGTGAATTGACAACCGATGGCTTAAGAGATAATGAGAAGAGATCCCGTCGTCGATTGTTGTTTGACAGACAACACATGTTGTACTGGACGTATGACCATCAGAGGTAATGCCTGAACGTAGGCAAGCATAATTGTTCTGTCATACTGTTTAGGAATATAAAATGGTAATGGAGATTATTGAGGATATGATCTCTACATTACAGGAATTCGCTAATTACTACGGCCCATAGGGGCACCGCCGGAGCTGTTGTTTTGCCATCGGTCCCAGGCAACTCCAGGGAGCTGCAGTACCCGGCGGCCAAAGCGGCCCACTTCGTCGACTCGCAGGTCCTGTGGGATTCCGTGATGCTTTAGTGCTTCACCCACAGAAGCACGGGCATAGCAGTAGGATGTGGGGCTAGGTGTCTGTCCACCTCTTCATTGAAAGAACAACGTATACAGCGCCTGGTCCCGCCGAAGCTCGGTATCGACCGTGACTTATTCACAACTGGCGGATCCAGGAAGCGGTCTTGGACACTGCGGGGGCTTACCCCAAAAAGGTTTCTCGGAATTAATTTAAAAAAAAACTCTGATTTCGATTCCTTGCGCACTGCTGTGCAGTGTGATTAACCAACATTTCCTCAGAAAAGTTGTGAAGTTTTCTTTGATTCTCGAAAAGCGATTTCGGGCGCTGCCAATGTGGGGGAAGACATTTGCCCCAAATGCCTTCCCCTGGATCCGCCAGTGGGTTGCCCCACTCCGAGCTTGACTAAAACCATTTTCAAACCCCACCAGAAACCGATGGTAAGGTGAATTTAAATCCAATAACTCATCTCTGTCTGCCCGCCTAAATATGTATACAACACATGGTACGGCACCCGGCCCTGTCTGAGCTATGAGCCGATCGCGATATTTTCGGCTTTCCCCAACCCAAGCTCGATTAGGAACGTTCTCCTTCCCCACCCGATTGCTGATGTCAATTCAAATTCAATACCTCATCTCTGTCGGCCCGACCATAACCCATTCATTGCACACCGTTCAGCGCCCCGCCCCGCCAGAAGTATCCTAGCGCGCTGAGCAGTTGCCTCCAGCCGCGTCATCGCGAGGCCCCGCGCGGCCCATAAATTAATACATTGCGCGAATAGCCGTGTCGCCCCCCTGTGTTTGACAAAGCTCTTGCTGTTCATCAAGTGTAGCGTGGTGCCGTTCGAACAAGCTGCTAATGATTTTTTACTGAATTACTGAAATTTTACTGCTAATGAAATTACTTAAATTTTGATGAATTTAATGAAAACGCCCAATTTAGGCGACAGTGCACACATTTCAGAAATAGTGCAGGTGATTTCGACAGTACGGCATAGTGCATTCATGCATTGAATCGCGGCACAATATTAGTCATATTGCAGCCATTTCGTCGTAGTGCAGGTTAAAGTGACCCAGGTTCAGGGATGTTAGACATTGCGCACATTATTCGTCAGATCGTTTAAACTTTGGGGCGGTGCATGTAATTT